AACTTTATTTGAGTTTATTTATTTATTTTTTCTGTTAGGATTGAGGAATCTTCCCCACATTCATGTGCTGACTTTGGCAGGAGTGAGGTAGAGGGTGAATCCTGCAATATAATAACACATTTCTCCTATGTGAAAATGTACATTTCACTAAGGAGATTCCCAGAGAATTTAAGCTCTAAATTTCCTAGAATTATCTTCTGTGCAGAGAAGGTTTTGAATGCCCATGTCTAATACTTCTTTTCCTATATTTCCCATATTTCTAAATGATAGGCACTGACCTGTTGGTTTGCAAATGCCAGGTGATTTGCATACATAGGAAATTTGTTTTGTACTTAGTGATTCAAACACTGACTCCAGGGGGCAAGCCCATTCGGGAATACAAGAGAGGTCCTGGCATATAAAGAAGTATTGAGCAGTTATGGGTACGTCAGAGCCATTCTCAGATTTCATTGGTGATCTGTCATCCCTGGTTTGGAATTGATCAAGTTTGATTCTATAGTTATAATTTATCTTGTTTGTTTTCTGGTGGATCAAAAAAAAAAAAAGGCTTTTTCTTTCAAACCTTTCAATCAGAATATCACTAAACCTATCTTGAAATATGAGTAAATATAGGCAGATTACATTATAAAATATGTATTTCCCAACTATTCATAGTGATGTGCATCACAGATAAATAGGGTCAGGGCTTGTCTTTGTGGATCAACAGACCTGGTTTCAGGTCCAAATTTGGTCACTTTCTGGTTATTATTCATTAACTCTGTGCTATTTCCATGCTGGGCCTTAGTTTTCTAATCTGTGAAATGGAGGTAATATTACATACTTCATAACAGTGTTAGGAGATTTCAACAAATGATAGTCTTTAAACTTCTAGTATGCCTCACATACGGCTGTGCTCAATAATTAGAAATTGTTTTGATTATAACAGTTCACACTTATCTTATTCCCTACATTGCTTACACTTTCTCATTGCTCTCTTTTCTTGCTTTTATTTCTCTCACTATATTTTTCTCCCTTAACATTTGTCTTTGAAAATATTTTTCCTATATCTGTGCCTTTTCCCTCTCCCCCCCGCCCCTCTCTCACACACACACCTTAATCTGGTGTATATGTGTTTGTGTAAAAAGGAATTACAATCTCCTCTCATCATGATCCAAGGAAATTCATCTATCAGATACACATTCTTTCAATAACCCTTTCAACAATCATCTAAGAAGAACCTATTTTATGCAGGAGGCTCTAGGGAAGTCAGAACTAACAAGACTGACAAAGCCCTGTCCTCATGAAGCATATATTTTGGATAGAGGAAGCCAGATAATACTCATATGAACAATAAACATTTAACAATTGTGTCAGATAGTGGGAGGTAATAGAAGGGGACCAGGGCAGGGTGAAGGACCGAGTCACACAAGTAAAGAGGTAAATTGATGAGCTAGGATCCTTAGAGTGGTTTATGTAAGACTGAGGCATGATCAGATGAAAGAAGCTATGGGGAAATCTGGGGAAAGATACTGCTAAATAGGATTAACTTGGTGAAAGTCAGCAAGACAGGAATGAGTTGTTGTTCCCAAAAGACATGGAAGTAGCCATAGTGAGCAGAATGATGAAACAAGAGGAGAGGAGATGAGCATGGAGAGTTCTAGGTCACATGAAACCTTCAGGGCAAGAGAGGAGTTGTACTCTTACTGTAATTAGAGTGAAAAGCCTCTGCATGGAAATGATACGCGCTGACCTATCCTTTAAAAATATCTCCTTGGTAACTTGGTGGAAAGGGTGCAAGAGTGGAAATACAATGGCTCTTTAATGAGAATTATTAAAGCATTCAGGTGAGAGATGGGGCTGGCAAGCATTTGTGTGATAGCAGGAAGATCGGAAGAAGTGGGCATGTTTGTGATATGTTATCAAGACAGAGTTATAGCACTTGCTGATGAATTGGCTAAAGGATGTAAGGGAAAGAAAGGAATCAAGGATGATTCCATAGTTTTGACCTACTCTGTTTCTGTCACTGAGGATACAGTGGTGAAAAGGAATTCATCAATGGTCTAAATTGTTCTATGTAAAAAAGTGTCCTAAACATGGTTTTGGACAGAACCATCTTGTATCATATAATGCATAGCCTCCTTCTTGGAAGAAATTTGATTTCTACTAAACATGATTAAGTAATATTTCTGATTAACTTTAAAGGGATTGAAGCTTGTTGTACAGAACCAGAAGAACAACCCATTCGGGGCAGGCAAGAGAAGGATAACAATGGCCTCGAGCACGAGCCTTCAAGAATGTCCTCAATTCCGCGAAGAGCCGCTCCACGCCCGCCAGCTCCTCGAATATAGCTCGCTCCCTCCTCGGCTCCTCGCCTCTCCGTCGCGCGGCATCGCTTCCTCACCGTAATCGCCTAGACTAATCCTCGCCTCTTCCTCTCCTCTACTTCTTCCTCTCGACCTCCTCTCCTCTCCTCTCCTCTCCTCTCGTCCTCCGCTCATCTCCTCTCCTCTCCTCTCCTCCTCTCCTCTCCTCTCTCTCCTCTCCTCTCCTCTCCTCTCCTCCTCTCTCTCTCTCCTCTCTCGCTCTCTCTCTCTCTCTCTCTCTCTCTCTCTCTCTCTCTCTCTCTCTCTCCCTCTCTCTCTCTCTCTTATAAAATGTCCTTCTCAACAATAAATCTTTAACTTGAGTGATTAGAGGCCTTTTAACTTTCAACAATATTGTAATAAAACTTTGACACATGCTCATAACTAAATGGTCTGAAAAAATTTTTTAATTTAATCTTTATTGTTAAGATTATTACAATTGTTCCTCCTTCCCCTCCCCTAATAGCTCCCCTCCACCTGTTTCCCACCCCACCCTCTGCCCTTACCCCCCACACTGTCCTTATCCATAAGTAAATGATTTTTGTCCAGTCTCTTTCCGTACCCCCACACTCCTTTCCCCTGAGGATTGTCAATCCATTCCCTTTCTATGTCCCTGATTCTATTATATTCACCAGTTTATCCTGTTCATAAGATTTTTAATTCGCTTGATTTTTAGATTTACTTGTTGATAGATAAGAATTTGTTGATCATAATTTTTATCTTTACCTTTTTTTTTTTCTTTCTCTTCTTAAAGAATACCTTTCAGCAATTCATATAATACTGGTTTGGTGTTGATGAACTCCTTTAGCTTTTTCTTATCTGTAAAGCTCTTTATCTGACCTTCATTTCTGAATGATAGCTTTGCTGGGTAGAGTAATCTTGGTTGTAGGTTCTTGCTATTCATCACTTTGACTATTTCTTGCCACTGCTGTCTGGCCTGCATAGTTTCTGTTGAGAAATGAGCTAACAATTGTATGGTACTCACTTGTAGGTAACTAACTGTTTCTCTCTTTGTCTTTTGCCCTTGACATTTTAATTATGATGTGTCTTGGTGTGGTCCTCTTTGGGTTCCTCTTGTTTGGGGTTCTGTGCCCTTCCTGGACTGTAAGTCTATTTCTTTCACCAGGTGGGGGAAGTTTTTAGTCATTATTTCTTCAAATAGGTTTTCAATATCTTGCACTCTCTCTTCTTCTGGCACCCCCATAATTCTAATGTTGGTACTCTTGAAGTTGTCTCAGAGTCTTCTTACACTATCCTCAACTTTTTGGATTCTTTTTTTTCTTTTTCTTTTTCAGTTGAGGGTTTTTTGCTTCTTTATATTTCAGATCTTTGACTTGATTCTTGTGTTTCTCTAGTCTGCTGTTGGGTCTCTGTATAATATTTTTTTTTATTTCAGTCAGGGTATGTTTAATTTATACTTGGTCCTTTTTTATATCCTTGAGGGACTCACTAAATTTATCAGCCTTTTCTAAGAAATTCTTGAAAAACCTCATAACCATGGTTTTGAACTCTATATCCAGTTGTTTATTTTACTCCATTTCTTTCATTTGTGTCCTGTTTCTTTGTCTTCATGGCTTGGCCTCCCCAGTTACCTGAGGTAACACTCTTGATGCACCCCTTTGTGGGCTATGTAGTTAAGTCTTGATTGTTGTTGGTATCACTGGGAAGGAAAGGATTGACCTCCAGGACAAATTGGCTGTGAGGATAAGCTGTGTCTACACTGGGACAACTTCTGTGCTGGCAGTTCTCTCTTCATGCACTTGTGTGTGTCCACCTTCAGACCTCTGACTTTTGCAGCTCCCCTGAGTTTCCGCCCCACAGTCCAGAATCCCCCCATATAAGCCTGGGTCCCCAGGCACTTGCCTGGAACTGTGGTTCAGCGCAGTTAGGAACTTTTGTCTCTTTCTCGTTAGAGAAAGCGAGCCAAGCACTCAGCCACCTGCGTGTGTGTCTCTGTACCTCAGCCTTTTGCAGCTCCTCTGAGTCTCTATGTGCTTTCCTCTTTCCTTCTAGTTGTAGAATTTCCACTCAGCCAGCTCTCCTGTGGTTCTGGATGATATTTGTTTTGTCTTTTAGTTTTAGTTTTGAAATTGTTGTGCAAGACAGCAGTTTAGGTGTTTATGTTGCTATCTTGGTTTCTCCTGAAATTTTTATTTTCAAAAATAATACTCATGTATATATTCCATGGTAAAACAAGAGAAATTTTTTGAAACCTTAATAATAAGAGGGAAATAACCACCAACTAGTATTTTGTATATGAATTATTAAAATAAAGTTCATTGTTAATAAATGTTAATAGTAATTACTAAACTCTGGACTATAAAGGCAAAAATTATGAAGAATTTCCTGTTTTATTATAGTAGAATAAGTATCTACTTGAGTCTTACAAGATTTTAAAAGCTTTGAGGACCCAAGTACATCATCTTTTTTTTTTTTTTTTAAGGTAAAGAAACTGAAGCCACAAATGGGTTAATGATTGCTTGGAATTGCACAGGATTGAGTAAAGATTTGACCCTGGGTCCTCAGAGGCCTTGTCACCATGTATATATAGACTGTGCCTGCATGCTTACAGTAATTCCCTGCTTCATTTCTTAATAAAAGTTATTTGCATTTTAAATATCATTTTAGTAACTAAAATAAAATTTTTCTTTCTTTCAGTTTCCCTTTCAAGACAACCTCTTTCAATCCATGTATTACCCTCTTCAGTTGAAGTTTTTGGAAACTGTACACACTTTATGTGGACGAATCCCACAAGTGTTTCTGAAGCAAATTGAGAAAACAATGAAAAGGGCTTATGAGAGGCATGTCATCATGCATGTTGGCCCCAACCAGATGCGCTGAATGTTTCATCTTGTTGCAGTTAATCAGGCATCTCGCCCATGAGGAAAAGTCATCTCTAAGCTGCCTGGGCCATTTCTGAGTAAATATCTAATGGTGCTCTGTGACAATTGAGTTTTAAAAGCTTTGTAAAATGTTGCTAAATTATTTGCCCCTACAAGAAAAAATAAGCTTTATTTTTTTTTTCTAAAATGCTATTTATCTCTCTTGTTTTTAAAAATATATTATTACTCATCTAACATTGTTTAGGTTGAGCTAGCTGTGAAAAGGAACTTTTGTTAAACCTTCAATTCCTGGTAAGTGTCTGAAACAGTATCAGTAGCATTTGAGTTTGTGCGTGTGTGTATGTGTGTGTGTGTGTGTGTGTGTGTGTGTGTGTGTGTGTGTGTATAATTTTATTGATTTTGGAGAGGGAGGGAGAGATAGGAACATCAATAATTAGAGTCATCGATTGGCTGCCGCCTGCACAGCCTCTACTGGGGATGGAGCCACAACCTGGGCCTGGGCCCTGACTTGGAATTGAACCAGTGACCTCTTGGGTTATGGGTTGACATTCAACCAGTAAACCACCCCAGCTAGGCTGAGGTGATATATTTATTCTGTATTCTTGCAACTCTTTCTATGCAATTGGCTTTTCTACACCTTTGTAACTGAGTAATACATGCTTGTTATAAAACAAATTTTAAAAACTTGTAGATAATTTAGTTTAGTGAACCAAAATCAAAATTAGATTAGCCATAATTCTATCAGCCAGTGAAAATAATTGCTATTTTAATGTAGTTCCTTCCAGTTTTTTCACCACAAGTTCTATCTTTACTTGTTGGTTATCTTCCCCATTGTATCACATATCTAAAACAGGTAGTCTGAGTAAAAGCTGGCCCATATGTTGAGATTTTTATGTAAGAAACTAAAAAGTTCATAAAAACCATATCTAGGGTTGCTTTTCTAAAAAAAACTTATTGAAATTTGTGTAAGACTGAATCATAAGAAGTATCTATGAAACCCCAGCTTTTGAGAGAAAATTGGCTAAATGTTTTAAACCTGAGGGGTTTGTTTATCAAAGAGATAGAATTTTGTGTTTGCCCACAGATAAGAGCATTTTATTTCTTACCATCAGTATGTGTAGCCTCCTCTTTTCTTTAAACTTTTGGGCAACTGAATTTAATCTGCACAACATAAATAGTGCAGTTGATTCATTGGTAAGAAAATTTAAATTTCTACCAGCCTTAGAAAGGTTTCTAACATTTCTCCCTTCTCTAGAGTTACCCAGCTTTTAGTCAAGGAACCAGATACCTGCTTAGCTTAGTATAGGAAGTTCTATAGTCTATTCCCCAAGGAGAACTGACTTAATCCCTAGTTACTCATGTAGCTGGCATCAGCATAACAGTGTTGTGCTTATGCTTTATTTATCTCAGAAAACTTGCATAAATGATCTCCTTGATGTATGCAACAGCCCTGTGAGCTTAGTAGGGACCTGTATTATCTCTACTGGGCAAAAAGTAAATTGTAACATCCTGTTTTTTTAAAAAAAATACTTCTAAACAAAAATATTAACTGCTTTTCATTATATTTAAGCAACAATCTGAAAGTATAAAATTAAAAATATTATTTTGTTAATATAACATGGTATCTTATAGGTGGGGATCCAGTAGAACATCATATGTTTTATAATTAGCAGAAAAAGTCTTATCCTGCCCTAACCAGTTTGGCTCGTTGATAGAGCGGTGGCCTGGGGACTGACAGGTCCCAGATTCCGGTCAAGGGCATGTACCTTGGTTGCAGACATACTCCCAGTATGAATTGTGCAGGAGGAAGCTGATCAATGTTTCTCTCTCATTGATGTTTCTAACTCTCTAACCCTCTTCCTTTCTCTCTGTAAAAAAAAAATCGATAAAATATATTTTTTAAAAGAAAAAGTCTTATCCTAAAAAATATTATGAAAATCTCAGCACTACAAAGAAATATATAACTATTGATCAATATTGGTATGGGGCATCGTTATGGTACTAACAAATTTAAATCCAAATTGTTAAAGGTATAGCTCATATTTTCTCTTTGCTCCATTGGATGGCTTGTGGTTTATTATTTTTGTTAATGAAATTACCATTATGATGTGCAACTTGTCTCTCTGTTGTTGTACTTTATGTTTTCTTATTTTGCCACTAAAGGTGATATCATTCATTATATTTAAAGGGTATGAGACAATTTTGGGGTTGTCTTTGGAGGGGGAAATGCATCCTATACATCCACAAATATGGTTTTAGTGGAAGAGCCAGAATGTGAACTTGGTTCCCTGACTTCCATTCTCATTTTCTTTGTGTTTGTTCAGCATGGCCAGTAAACCCACAATGTCATTCTGATTGTTGTTGAAGCATATATCTAATGAAGTCCTTTCTTCCTTTGGTGAGTCCTACAATATAATCTGCTAAAAAGACTCTGAATACAGCAATCCCTTTTCTTTTATGAGAAGGAAGTTTACCCAGAACTTTCAGCTGTGGTTCTGGTCTTAACATGCAGAATAGGATTTCCAACAAAGGTCAGTCATAGAACTCCAAGAACATTCTAGAATGATGCATTATGAAAATGTAAAACCTTAGAATTTGGTTTGGTTTTCTGCCTTGAAATCCTTTTGCTATATGCTGATATTTTAGGTAGTTTGGTAGAGAATTTAGAGAAAATTTTGCTCTTCCAATCCCTGCTACCTGCAGTTCTTGTTTTCTATAACTGTGATGTTACCATGAGGCAATATGTTTTCTGCCTTTGATAATTCCCAGAAAACTACTACATCAGTGCCTTGGAAATTGGATAATTACAAATTTTAATTCAGTGAACATTCAGTCTATAGTCTGAAGTTTGCCAAAGGGAATGTTGCCTAGTATGCCACATTGAACGTCTGTATGGAAAGACATAAGACTTATCCTCTCCTCTCCTTTGCTCATTTTCTTTACAGTCCTGTTTAGTGCACATTACAATGGAGTTCCCCTGCAGAATGAAAGAACACTTCCTGAGAGCAAAATATGACAGTATTGAGATTGAGATTGAGATGGTCATTAGCTGATTAACTATAAATGCTAATGATGTTTTTCTTGCTGAGTATTTTTCCAATATAAATCTCAAAAAGTGCAACTTACTTTGAAAATTCCAATATTTAAAAATTTAATTGGCTAGAAAATCTACTTAAGTTTTTCTTCAACTTCCAAAATGACAATTTAGCATTTAGGGTATAATGTTCCAAACTTTAGTATGTATTTGAGATTTCTATCACATTTTCAGTGCTTCCTTTGAAAATTGTTGTGACTTTTATTGAATTTATTATTTTTCTTATCTTTATTGTTGAAAGTATTATATATGTCCCTCTTATCCACCTCTGAATTTATTATTTAGACAAACTCATAGCAGTTTGAGCATATTTACCTTATTATGGTTTCATAAAACCCAACCATAAAAACCTTATTCATAGCCATAAAAACCTTATTCATAGCCACAAAATTTAAGTAAATGTATAAATATTGCCTGAGACTTATACAAAAAAAGATAAATTGATTGTATTAGATAAACCAAAGTGAACGTGATTTCATGACTAATTCAGCAATATATGAATTTAGAAATATGTTTAATTGCAGGGGAGTGCAAATCATTATATTCACACTCAGTAGAATGGTAGGAAATCTTCCTTGTTTCTCTACTTTTTCATCTTCCTCTTTTTCATTTTGCTTTTCTTGGCATTATCCAAATGACAGAGTGAGAAACTTTGAGGATCCCTGTGAATGCAGGATTAAATTTAATCGTTATATCAAATTTTTATGATAATAACTTTCTAAAAATAAAAAAAGCACGAAATACACACACACACACACACACACACACACACGCATAAACCACCAGCATGCTTTTTAAGAAGGAGCTAGCATTTTGTTATGGTCTGTGAATTGAATTATAGTGAAACCTATGTCATGGCATTTCCCCAATTGCACTGCTGGAAGTTAAAGCTGATGAGATTACTCTGACAAACAGATATTTGTCCTGGATTGTTTTCTCAAGCCTTCAGGATGTGTTTGTGTCATGAGATGCATGAACATGTCAGGGTCAGATGCAGTTGCTGCTTCCTCAGTTTTACATGTTTGTGTTGTTACTGAAAAGTGCATCCATTGTTTGCAGCTCTCAAGGAGACTCTGAATGCTTTTTTTTTTTTATGTTGGAAAACTTTTTTAGTAATTTTGTTGGGAAAATACCATAAAAAATACTCTAAAGAAAAGGAACTATAGCAAACTAAAGGGAATATAAGTACATGATTTAATTATTATCTTGTCTTTTTAAATACCATTTATGGACTGAATATAAACTGTGCACCTATGGATGAGGACAATGGGGGGTGGGGAAAGGGCAGAGGGTCAGTTGGGAACCTGGTGGAGGAGAGCAATGGAGGGGGGGGGAAGGAACATTTGTAATAATATGAACAATAAAAATTTATTTAAATAAATAAATAAATAAATAAATAAATAAATACCATCTATGGTTTTACGTTTTTTAATTAAAAACATTTTTTAAAAATGTGTTTGTGTTAATTTGGAAGTGTGTTTTTTTTCTTATATTAAGATTTCAAGTATGAAAATTTGTAATATTAAATAATACTTAAGTTTTTCCAGCTAGTAAAAATAAAATTGGTTTAGCATTAGCTTAGATACTTGTAAAAATCATTAGAAGTGCTTTACTAATTGCTATAGAAAATTTTCATATATTACTAATCATCCTAAATGTAAATGGACTAAACTCACCAAACGATACAGAATAGTGGGTTGGATGAAAAAACAAAACCCAACTATAAACACATCTCAGTTTTAAGGACAAATATAGACTCAAAGTGAAGGAGTGGAATATAATAGTACATCTAGATAAAAGAGGGCTTACCTACTCAAAACTGACAAAATTATCTATATAAAAGCCTAAGAGACTGTTATGACCAGATGGCTGGATGACTGGACCATTGGCCGGTATCTATGATGTGCACTGACCATTAAGGGGCAGACACTCAATGCTGGAGCTGCCCCCTGGTGGTCAGTGTGCTCCCCCAGCCAACCTCCCACAGCTGGCCAGCCTCCCGCAGTCCATTCCCCCAGCTGACTGGCCTTTTTTGTCCCCACTTGAGACTGGGCAAGACAGCCCCAATTGGCCTCAATTGCTGGCCAGGCCAGGAGACCCCACATGTGCACCTATCTGTGCATAGCCTCTAGTTGTAAGATAAAAAAGGTAACAAGAGACAAAGATGGACATTTTATAATGACAAAGGGGACAATACATCAAGAAAATATAACACATTAGCACCAAACCAGAGAGCACCAAAATATATAAACTATTAAAAGAAAGGAAAAAACTGACAAAGACACAATTCTATTAGGGCACCTAAATACCCTATTTACAGCAAT